CTTTTTTCCCACTAAAGAAAAGGGTTTTTGGCCAAGGAAGGTTTTAACGAGGCACACCTCAGAAATAAATCAACAAAGCAACTCCATTCCCATACATTTTCGGTATTGGCACATTAACCATGACGACTTGCCAAGGTCGAGTTCGAACCTTGATGTTAAAGTCGGGTTCGAACCTTCTGAATTCAAATTTTCCCGTTGGAGCGTAGCTTCATGTCGTTGCAGATGGAGGCTTGTTCATAGCTATGTAAATCTTTTCATTTAATGCAATTGATCTTGCATTAAATATTTGCTTGTATATGTGAAGTCCTTCTGTGTAGTTGATTATTTCAATGTCTGACTTCAATCATGATCTAGGCATATTTGTACTTTTCTCATCAGTTTAGCTGCTGAGGTGTTGTCTTTCTTTGAAAAGCAGGTGTCCTTTTTCTAACACATGCAACCTTGACTTGTGAATCCAAGCTTTCCTATTTTTTCTTCTTTCTGTATTCAGGTTTGATGTCCTTTTGTGTTTCTTGTATGATTTCACTCAGTGTGATTAGTGGACTTCAGACGTGCTTCATTATTTTTCGATTGTGTCTGGATACACATTTTAGTTTTAGTTCTTCGTCTGGTCTTAACTACCCTTTACGTCTGGTAGTGATGACTTCGTCTGCTTGTTTGTTAGGCTTTATCTGATGATTTTGCAAATCCATGTTGTTGTTTAGCCAACTTTCGTCCCGTTCTTGACTTAGTCTCATATGTTGCCTATTTTGGTCTTACATCTGATGTTTCTCACTCCCTTGTTGTTATTTGTACATGTTTAAATTCTGTTGCAGATGATCATTAGCACGAGGATGTTGGTGATGAGGCTTAAGTTTTAATTGAGCATGCTCTGATAGGATATGTGACATCGGAGCATAACTAGATTTAGTTTAGGATTCCTTATTGTTATTCTGTTTTGGAAAAGATTCATTTTGTTATAAATTTCGCATTTGACTATATTTGAAGTATACAAATATGAATCCTCTACTCGAATTTATTATTTTAATTATAAAGATTTTATTTAAACCAAGAATATGTTTCATATATATGTCAGGGTAGAGAGTATCACAGTTTCTATGTTCTAGAACGGATCATCACAACTTTAAATTAGAAAAATAAATACTTGATAATATGATAGCATTTTAAGTTTCTTGAATTAATCTTAAACGTTAAATGTATGTCATCGACTATTTCAAATACTTAAAAAGCATGTTGAAATTTATGACTAAGAGATAATGTAACTTGAAGAAGAACTCAGATGTAACATTTGTTTAATTTTCTATTTTCATGTTCTCGACCTTTTTTATTTTTTAATTTTAAAATTTCTAATTTGCAATTAAGTTTCCATGTTTTGGCATATGAGTAGTTATCAATAAACAAATTACATTGATTAATTTTTTCCTCTCCAACAAATTATTAGTAGTTACTTTTAAAAAACTAATACATGATTTTTTAAAAAAAAATGAATATAGATAAAATAAATATAAATTAAAAAGTAAATGAATCTTGAGAAAAGTGGAATTAAAAAGGTGATATCTTTTTTATAAATTATTATGATAATATATTTAAATTTATTTATTCTTTTTATTTTTCTATTCTCCACTTTTTTTTAACAACTTTTTCTAAACAAATGTTATGAATTTAGAAATAAAAATTATACTAGTTATTCAATATAAATATCTTAAAAAATACCTTCATAAGTTATACCAAGAATAATAATATATAAATCAATAAGTATTACTTTAGATTTATTTGATAATTTCTTTCAACATAATAATATTTAATTTTAAATAATTATGATAAATAAAAATCAAAATAGTTAAGAAGTTAAAAAAAATATTACAAATTTTCTTGTTCAAAAAAGATTTCTAAAAGTATTCTCGTGTAAGATAAATAAAAATTGAATCATAAGAAGTTAAAAAGAATTCATACAAACTTTCATTGAAGATAATAATTCATATTTAATATATATGAATTACTTTTTTTTAGAGTTACATTTAGTTAGAATAAATCTTGTGAGATTTCTCATAAAAATATATATATTATAAAAATATATATTAGTGTCTAAATTTAAATAAGAATATAAAATTATATGATTAACTAGAATATTTAAATCATGATTGATTACTGTAATTAAATATTTCATAAAAAATAATCATCTTAACTTTTATTATTACATAATTTTAAGAATTAAAAAATGATTTAATGACATTTTAATGAGAAAATTATGTGATGTAGTCATGTGCATGTGTATGTTACAAAACATTCTTTAATAATAAATGATATATATGATAAATACAGTTGATAATAAATTAATATATTATAATATTTTAACATGTAACTAATCGTATAATGATAAAATTTAAATAAAATATAATTTATTAAATAATTATTTTGTATATTATTTTGATGATTCGAGAATCATCATAACTATCATAAGTTTTGATTACCCTAATTAATTAAATCATTCAATAAAATTTATAAACTGATTATTATATTATATATTATATATAATTAAGATATATAT